CCTGTAATCACAGTACCAAAGCATCATATTTACTTCATAACCTTAGTATTTGTACTCGCAGGAATGATAAATGAATCATATTTTTAAATTATTAGGGAAGAAGGAAAAATAATTACCATTATTACTGTTGCCATATGCAACTGACTTTGCCTATCATAATTGCCTACTAAACAAGAGTGACAGTTGCGGAAAGAATATAAGAATACGCACTGAAATCATCATTTGCCTACAGGAAGAGTCCATCATTTAAAAAGCTCTCCAGAACACCAGTCTGTACAAGCAAGGATTTTTACAAAAGAAGGTGACTTTGTCAAACCTTTTTCACCACTAACTGTCATTCAGCAGACTTCAGCTTAGTTCCTCTAATTGCACTCTGTTGCTGGGAATGCTAACGCATGGAGTCAAAAGCACAGATTATAGCAGTCAGGGTCCAATGGAATCAGAAAGTTCTATTGATTTTTGGTAAATCTACTACTTACAGAAAAAGAAGGATTACTGTGAGGCTCTCAAAAAGGAGAAGTGTCATATGGGCCACTGTTGCATACAGTAAAAAGGTCTCTGTTGTAAAGTCTGTGAACTATTATGCTAGAGTAACCCTAGCACAATAGCCAAGGAATGACAGCCTACTGGGAAGAGCTACTTTCCGTTAGGCGACAAGTTTTATTTCAATGGTTTACAGTTTTTATAGACTAAAACCTAGAAAATTAAGAGTTTGTTTAAACATCATATGTCTAAATATTTTAGAATAGATTTTTTGCTAGAGATCTTTATGCACTTGTTTATATCTACTAAGAAAAGAGGAAATACCCAAAGAGGCCTGTTCTTTTCTGCAGGCAGGGCAGAAGAGTCTTTAATCCATTTCCTCATATGTACATAAAGGATAACCAAAAATGGATTTTTATTGTACCTGTCTATCTTTTACTACTTGATGATATTTAGTACAATAAATATATAGTACAATAAATATGTGCAGTTTGATTTTCTGGGAGCTCTCTAGGGTTAAATATGCCCTACCTTTTATCTCAGGATATTCAATTTCCTGCCCTCCTGCCTGGATTCTTGAAAGTAAGAAGTAAAATTTATTGCAATTGATGACAAAAGTGGTAATAGATATCTGCTTTAGTTGAGGACAAAGGGAAAGGGAAGTTTTAGAAAATAATGAAGCTTTCTAACATGTATTTTCTGCTCTGGACATAGTATAAATATTATTTCTATTCTGGAAAGGTAAAATTTAATCAGGATATATGTCTATCTTACATTAGTTCTGTAGTCTCAGTGCCAGGCTCGTCATCCATATTGAACTAGTCCATCTTTTTTTTTAATCATTGGAAAGAAATATTTAAGCATGAAATTAGATTTTTTTCAAAACTCCTCAAATATCTGGATTTGTCTTCACAAGTTCCTGGCTGTCTGAAATATACTCAAGATCTCTGAATTGGAAAGAGTAATTTCAGAGAAATAAAAAAATAAAATTTATTCTATGTATTTCAGCCCAGCTCAGATACCTGCAAAAGGAAAAGGCTTCATTTTGAAGTAGAGACTTTAGTTTTGCTTATGGTTTGATGACCCTATGTTCCAACATAACCCTTTGAAAAAGCAGAAGGTAACAGTATGGGAAGATCCAGTATATCTGCTAAATATTTCTTTTTAGGAAAAGATGCAAGGGTGAAATCATTCAGTTCAGACACCTAACTGCAGGGGTCTACAGTGTAGATGCCAATATGTGGGCAATGTATCATCAGCTCCTTTTACATTCTGTGTGCCTAAAGAACTACTTAGAAGCTTACATTTGGTCAAATGAACAGCTATATAGGCTCCATGGACTAGATTTACATATAAGGGGAGCTTAAACACCTACGTGCAGGTGTCTGAATACAGAAATGAATCCTACGCCTACAGTAAACAAATATCACAAGGTTATCATTGATTACATTACATTTCAGTGTTTTTCACCATGTTCATTGTCAGAAATGCCAGAAGTGAAGTTTCTGATTCTGCTGTAGGATATTTATAAGTGGTACACACATTTCAGTCCGGAAGGCCTTAGTACAATGACAAGCAACACAAGCAAAAGGAAATCAGGCTATACTCACCACTGATTTACAGAGCTCTGGTGTGGCTGAGAAGGAAGGGCTATGTCCTATGATGGCATCAAGACAGAGAGAGCAATGCTGCTTCAGTATGCTGTATCTTCAAATGTTTAAAGGCTGATGTGGAAAGTCACATAAACCTGAATTATCACTCTTTTCTCCTAACACAGGAAATCGCTGCAGTCCATGCTCCATACGAAACACAACTAAATAGCATAAATTAACTTGCTTTGCAAGCAAGATTACAGCAATTACATACACATGGAGTTTATACACAAATAATACAAATCATTTGTCATTTGAGGAAAGGCTGAGGGAGCTGAGAACGTTCAGCCTAGAGAAGAGAAGATTGAGGGGGATCTGATCAATGCGTATAAGCATCTGAAGGGAGGGTGTCAAGAGGATGGGGTGAGATTCTTCTCAGTGGTGCCCAGTGATCGGACAAGAGGCAATGGGCACCAAGGCAATTCCATCTGAACATGAGGAAAAACTTCTTTGCTGTGAGGGTAACTGATCACTGGAGCAGGTTGCCCAGAGAGGTTGTGGAGTCTCCTTCCCTGGAGATATTCAAAAGCCATCCGGGCAGAGTTCTGGGCAACGTGCTCTAGGTGACCCTGCTTGAGCAGTGGGTTGGACTAGATGATCTCCAAAGGTCCTTCCAACCTCAACCATTCTGCGATTCTTTGATTCTGTGAAAAATACTGTTGCCTAGAAAAATGGCAAGTTACATATCACTGCTAATTTGTGTTACCTTAAGGCTAGATTAAAGCAGACAAATTTTCATAGATTTCATGAGTGATTAGTTCTGAAAATCAGAACAAATATAATTTGCTACTAAATGAGCTATTTAGGCTCTTGCAATGCAGCAATACTGCTTGGATAGATTGTTGGACTTCAATTTGTAGAGATGTGACTTCTACCTGTGAGGCAATCACAACACATTAAACTTCCTTTATTTGGTTTCTCAGACTGGTCCATAATAAGCTTAATATGTAATCCATCCTTTTCGTATTACAAAGGACAAAAAGGTGATCTTTTGAATTTGAATCTCTAGTTTGCCCTCCCCGGCCTCCTTCTCCAAGCAGTAAATGGTAGAAAAAAAAACTTTTTCTGTGGTTTCATCAGTCTTGTTATCTGCTAGAAAACAGTTATATATTGAATCTCTAAGGTATTTGATGTTCTCTTTATTCCCTAACCCTATTTCCATACTCAGATCTGAAAGAAAAGAAACTATCCCATAGAAAACTATTATATTTGCAGGTTATTGAGAGTAGCAGCATGTAAATTTTAAGACCTTCTGACCAAGATCCAGTCTAGTCTTTTGGGACAAGGTGAATAAGCTCTCAAAATGAAATACCTTATAATGGAATTGTTCTATTATACTCTTTTAGATCCTTACCTGAGGAGGAAAGAGCACAAAACCTAGTATCCAGGGGGAAAAAACACAATAAACTACTTAATGCAGTTTTAATATCAAAGGATGACAGTCCTGACAGATGAAAGATCTTGAAGCTTACCCACAAAGATTTGCAGTTTTTTTTTTTTTCCTTTGGGGAATAATTTGTAGTTATTAATTAAGCCCCAGCATCCCTTTGGAGGCAAAACTGTGTTTACTTTCATATCGTTTTAAGAACGTAGAGACAAAATCATGCCAAAGTTGGAAGGCTGAGAAAAGATATTCCAGATGTTTCTGGAAAAAAGAAAGATTGCTTTTGAGTTTGAATCTGGATGCCATTTCTCCTAGAAAAGACCCTGACTAAAGGAAAATAATTTTTTCTCTGTCTTCCCTACTTCATTGTTTCTTTTGTTGTCAGAGAAAACTTATTTTCCAAAAATAGAGAAATAACAACCAACAGAGTTCATCACGAAGCTATCATTACTGTTAGGATGGCTTTCTTATTGCAGCTCCAGAAGCCCCTTGGGAAAGTGCATTTGAAAGCTCCCAAGAAGACGGAAAAAAGAAATTAAAGTAGGTCCTTAAATGGAACTAAATAGCCTCGGCAAGGAATAACCCTCTAATATCCCTAATTCTCAAGCTTGTGGAATTCGGTAGAGAGGAGAAAGCTGCCAGGCTTGCATGCCTTCCCTAAATAGCCTCTCCTTTTACCAATGCTGAATACAAGATATGGGGCTAGAGGGATTACTGTCAAGTAGACTAATGCCATTAGAGCATTTCTTATATCCTTAAGGCAGCTGAGTGTTCAGATCAAAGTAGAAACTTGTATTTTCTGACTGAAATATGGAATCATCAGTAAAATTTCTGCTGATTTCAATAGGGTTAAGTTGTTGTCCTGTAGTTCTGGCTACCTATGCATATAGATGTACACTTTAACATAGGAAAAGATAGCTGTATTACAAAGCCACAGTTATGTAGAAACGTATTGGAACTGGGTGCCTTGTAAACCTTAAATTTAATAACTCATACAGGACAGCAAGCATGCTGCTCTTGTTCAGACTTCCCAGTATTTCTGATTGTCTTCTGTAAAACAAACCTTTTCAGCAAGACTTGTTTAGAAAGAAGCCAGATTTAGCAAAAAGGCATGGAAGGAAATTATGTTTTATTTGTATTCAAACATACACACCCTGTTAGCACCCCTAAATTATTCTGATTGCAATTCCATTTATTGCAATGCTAAGCTGTGGTACTCACAGGTACAGATGGCCCAGCTGCCAGAGACTTACTTCCAGCATCCATCTACCATATACAAACCTTTGAACTAAATCATTATTAATAATTGGAGCTGAAATATTTTATGCATAAAATAATAGCTTTTTGGTGTGAGAGTGCACTGAACAGTAATTTGAATTAACAACTTCAGTGTACAGTAAATTCATACTTTCACTATCAGGTTGGTCTTTAGTATTATAACTATAGTAAATAGCACGTGTCCATAGATAAAAGCAGCTTACCTGAATAACATGTTTCAGCTTGTCAATAATTTGACTTATTACAGGATCTGTTCCTTTCACTTTTACTTCTGGATTCCCAGACTGAGCTTTGATTCCGCTGCCAACCACACGATGAGTGTAGCTAGTTGAATACACAAACACATACACAAAAATGTTTTATCAAATGATTCTGCTCTCAGAGAATCATCTTCTAGTCTAAATGAATTCAACTTTCACGGCATAACCATTCCATTTTAATGAGATACGTTCATTTTGTGCACATATTTTTAATAGAAAAGGAATATAGAACTGTATAATTAGTACATTCCATAAAGTAGCGTTATTTATTATATCTTTAATTTTACTACAAAGTTTAACAAGAAAGTAATTACATAAATTTTGAAGGGATAAACAGCTGGAATTGGGAAAAAGAGGGAAGGGGCAATGAGCCGAATTATGGCTGGTGGAAATTAACCTAAAGAAAGGAATGTGGAAAGAAAATCAGAAAAAATATACAAAGACAGAAGAAAAGAAAAGAAAGAAAAAAAGGAAAGGAAAAAAAAAGGTTGGAGAAATAGCACTGGAAAAGAATGAACATGTTTTCCCCATTTTGTAATACTTAAGAAAATGCTAAGCAATGAATGATGCTCATTAAAGTGATGTTGCCACATAGCAATAACATATTATCTTTGGTATATGTTTAAATATCACCTTGACTTAAGCAAGACTGAGGATATTCCTAAGGATGCATACAAGGACCCAGACAGCATTCCTAAAATGACATTGGCTGTCTTTATAGAAAGATACTAACCCCTTCACACAAAATGACTCTAAGTCCTCTGTAGGTCTCAGAAATTGCAACTTACCTTCTATATGTGTGACAAAAATTATTAGCTTCTTTAGGCATTATAATAAGATACGTTTATTCTGACTACAAGTTCTGCAAAGTGCTTGAAAAGTGAACTAATTCTGAGGCCCAGCAAGGCTTTATTTTTGAACAGATTTTTTTATCTTCAAACAGATAAAAATCCAGCAGTCTTTCATTGCTTAGGTCTTTTAAAGCATTCAATTTCACAAGGAAAGTACTAAAATTCTAGAGTGTCTACATACAGGTCTGCATGTGCTATTTAGGGCACATATACTCTCTATTTCTTCTGCACTCAGTCACATTCACTGGAAGTAAATATATAATCAAATTTAAATTCAATTATGTGTCAAGATATTACAGGAATGATCACCTAGGAACAGTCACAAGTTAAAGCTTAAAGGCCCAAGCTTTATTCATTCCTTATTAGACAAAATATATTGTCAGCTGTATTCAATATTCAGGACACACTACACCAGCTAGAGGTAAATACTAAAAATAATAAGCCTATTACTAAGGCCATTACTGAGCCCATTACTGATTCACTAGCCATACTATTACTTGAAATAGATATTAATGCTGCACAATCAGGAAAGCAAGGCTTAATGTAGTTAATGTAGCTCATTAGAATGTGGCAGTTGAAATGATTTTTAAAAGAATCTTCATAGCAGTGTTGAATATACTGAATAAATGAATGGTTGATGTACTCTACAAAGCGGTATTTTGGTTTATAGCAGATAGCTTTTTGTACCCATGTTAGTGATGGAATAAAACTTTTTATTGGGGTGTGTGCAAAATCTGCAGCCTATCTGCTAGACTTGAGAGAATATTTAACAAAGCTATTTCAGTAGAATCCAGAAATCTTCTGGTAGCGTCTAAGTAAAAAACAAAAACAAAACACCCGTCTCCCCCAGCTCTTTTCCTCAAAAATCCATCTTCTATAGTCATTTGTCTAAATCAAAGTAGATAATTTGATATGGAATTCCTGCTTTCCTTCCCATCTTCAGATGAAGAATTTGGCACTAGATGGACAACTGATATGATGCAATATGACAATTTGTCTTCATACTGTAACAATGCAAAAAAACATCTTAAAAGGTTACGGCTCTTCATGGTATACACCTCTCCCATTTTCTATTTCACAGCGTGTAAAACCTATGTTCTCACTTTCTATCACTCAGAACGTCTTGATTAATATCTTTTCTCAAATGCTACAAAACCAACTATTGCAGACTTGCCCGTGATCTGCAGAACTATTTGGAGAAGGATACCATTTTTATTTTTGTAATTCAGTTAACCGTATCCATTTCTCTAACCATGCAGGAATAAATAGGCCATACAAAAGTAAACTGTACAACTGTACAAACTGTACAAACTGTACAAAAATTATTATTTGACTAGGCCAGAATTTTATTAATTGAGCTCACTATGAAACTGTGGCACCGACTCATTCAAGGCTGGTCATCATTCCTTTCTCAGTTATTTCCATATAGTAAGTGTGAACAGAGTAGACTGTAGGGACTCTGCTCCGTAGTGGAGTCTGGGACTGTCCCTGTCCTTTCTTCCATTCTTCTGCCTGCCCTCATAGCTTTCTAAAGAAAATGAAAATTTGGTAAATGTTTTCTTCTTTTACAGTCAGTACCAGGCTACTTTTCCTTCCTGGCAGGAAGGAAATCCACCCATTCACTTGTCCATTAAGGAAGACACTCACGTTAGTTACTCAAATTACACCCTTGCTGACTGCTTGGAGGTGAGGCTGTTTTTTTCCCACTGTGAGTAGGGAAGGGGAAGGAAGAAGCCAAAGCCAAGATGACAAGTGCATCGAAGCAGTGACAATCAGTGTACTAATGCTAGATAACACCACAACTTTAAATGCCTTAGTACTGAACAACACCTAGATCATGGGCACAGGTGGTAACACAGCCTCCATATTATTTGGTTTTACTTGCTCTGCACTGCTTAGCCCCTTTCTTTCTACTCTCTCTCTTGCTGCTGGCGTGTCTCTCACACACAAGTGGGGTGACTTTCTGTTCTGGAGACAGAGAAGAAAATCTGCCTTGAGCGTGAACAATTTGGGAAAACACTGCTCCCTGCACCCCAAACCTTCACAAATGCACGGACTACCCCCTAAACAGTTCAAACCCTGCTCCGTTTCTTTTGTGATGATGCATTTCAGTCTATTCTTCTGATGTGTTTGTTTGTTACCTTTTGTTTGGGGCCCTGTAGACCCCAAATGACACACAAGACCATATCCATAGTAGGCAAAGCTTTGAGTCCAGGACTGGTACAATCATTACCGGTTTCCAAGGCCTTTGGTTTATTCTCAGGTTTACTAGATATTCCAATATCTTTCCCAGCTTGACTCTTGCAGGGGTTATTATGTCCTTCTCCAGTCTAAACAAAATACTCACGCTTTTCAGGTGCTGGGTTATTTAAGCTCTGCAAGGCTTTCACTCCTTCAAGACTTCTTAATTTTGCATCAGGAAACATCTGACCTTGCAATTAATTCTCTAGATTCTGGATGCCATTTTTCTCTCAGGAGCATCTCTTATAAAGCATTACATATGTAAAGTAAAAAGGTAATTCGTTTGCATGGGGGAAAAAAAGGCAACCCAATCTGGAATTTGGAGGCAAATATGCTTTTCCCCAGATTTGATAATACTGATTTTGCCTATAAGTTCACGGCATAAATTTTGAATAACCCCTTTCATGTGATGCTGCAATGCTAAATGATACATGTCTCAGTATAGAACCCCCAGGCATTAATACAGTCAACATACTGCAGTAAATAAACCAGCCTGATTGCATTTTTTCCTGATGTTAGAAATCCCAACTCATATTAAATTTACTTTCACTGAAAAGTGTTCTGGCTTTGAGCAATTTACATTAAAAACTGTCATTTAATTTTGAGTCTTTTGTAATTACAGGCACTGACAAGTCACCAGGCAGGTTGAAAACACTTGTTTCTTTCTTCAGGTGTATAATAGGGCATTCACAAAGCCTTATGAAGCACTGTCTTATTGATTCTCACCATAAAAATAAGTTTATGAAAGCCAATCACTTCCTGCTTGATCTACTCCTCTGCTGATTGAAATAAGGTATTATTTTGCATACAGAAATTCTAACCATACTTATATACTGTTCTTTTATTTTCCAAATTTCATTATGTTTAATTAAGAAATGTCTATAAATATAACATCTTCAGACATTCTAATGTGGACTAAATGATCTGTCAGAATTAAATGAGCTATTGGGAATCTGAGCATGATATATAAAACTTCATCCCTGTAGACTTCCATTTATATGCAAAATATGTTTCCCTTAAGTTGAGGAAAAATGTAAAAATCTCAGACTCTTGGTTTGAGAGACTTCATTCATTATAAAGTTTTAATAGAGCATTAATCACTTTCTACTTCTTTTACTCCTAATGTACAAGTAATGGAAAAAACATTTTAAGGATCCCCACAGAGGTAGCTTGACTTGAGCAAGTGTTGCTCATATTTGAATCCTGAGGGGGAAAAAAATGACGAATTTCTTGTTAGAGAAGTAATAGACCCGCCATCTGTGCTCATTTCTTCTGTGCGAGCATGGTAATGTATCACATCACTTTAATAGGCAGTCTTGGTCCCAAAGTACTATTCATTTTCATCAACACTGGAAAAAAGCAAACACTGATATATTTGTATTCTATAAACATGTTTTAAAGTGATGATTAACAAGTTTCCTATTCTCTGAGTTCAATATATGAATATTCATATAAATTTCTTATTATTCTGTATTGTATCTATGAACACTGTTGGTATTTTCACTCGATTGTATCAATAGCTCCAATAAAAGAGAAGGTCATGTTCTATTCGCTATGGCTAATTTCTTGGTTCATGCAATTCAAAAAGCTATTAGAAGTAATAAATATATGAATTCTCTTCAGAATCAGTCATTCTTTGATATAGCGCTTACGGTAGATCTGTATCTTTATACCACTTCAACATTAACAATCTATATTACATTGTGATGACAACAAAATACTGATGCATCATATTTATTGTCAACAGCTGAGCATGATTTTCCACTCCTTTACACTAGCTTCATGGAGTTATATCAAAGTAGAATGGATACAGTAGGGATAGAGTAGAGTATAAAACTAATGCTAAAAATGGTCCTGATCCACAAAGTTTTGAACCAGATCCAACTTCCCCAGTGTTCAACCCCCCCGTGGTGGTAGTGTTTTGCTTCAGATCTGTCACTCTTTAAATTTGGGGCTACATATCTCCATATTA